ACACACGAACACGAACACGAACACGAACACGAGCACGAACAGGAACACGAACACGAACACGAGCACGAATACGAAGACATACACGAAGACACGAACACGAACACGAACACACGCGCGCGTGCACTTAGGCATCCATCGCGCAGCCACTCACCTGGGTCATGTCCAGCCTCGCTGGACGTCTTCTTTGGAAGATTACCTTCCTGGAATTCCGAAACCAATCGGGGCTCAAGGCTCTTCGGTTGTTGGAGTTAAATAGTTTAATCTGTACACGCCAACTGCATCGCTGCACTTCGCAGAAACTTCAAGCAAGCACAAACTGTCGTGACATGTTGCATTGCACTGCCTGGCAACTTGTGTAAAACTGAATATCTAATCTTGGCACAGTGGCCTTCTAATCTTGCTGGCTCAGGGGCCCCAGCTTTTTGCAGGTACGTTTTCACCCCCACATCACCTGGTGTTCGTTGGCCAGGCACACACACACACACACTCACGCACGGACACACGTGCGCACGTTCGTGCAAATTTCATGCGCAAAATCTTGTGGGTTGCTTTTGGGTGGCTGTCGTCTCAAAACGGGAACAATCATGACAATATCACGATATACAACCACGATGAATGAAGATCATGGTTTCGTCGACGACCGTTAGTTGCTAGACTGATGTCTTGCTGAGTCTTGCTTGCTTGTCCTTCTCATCGCTGGCTTCATGTCCTTCAATCAGGCTGAGCTGTTGTTGAAGCCGCAAAGCGACGGATACCCCTAAAATTCCTGTCGGTGCAGAAACCCAAGCTATGCATCAGTTTACCTGACAGCTGCGCCAGGCACTGTGCCCTATCGCGCTCGAGTTGTTGCGACGTGGCCACGAGGATCGATTCAGCTTGCGGTTGGGCGGTCTTGTGGTGGTGAACACGGGAAGCGCAATTGGTGGGGCACTGGACCACACGATCACCACTCGCCTGCAGCAGGTCAAGTTCGTGGTGCATGAGGAGGCAATGAGAGATTCTGGGCAAGGACTGCAGATGTCTCGAACGCAGTGTACACCTCTCCCTACAATGTACATGTGCGAACTGTGTGGGACTGGGTGTACTGCGATTGAAGGCCCGGCGAGGAAATCGGTAATTAGCACAAGATCAATTCTCATGCATTTAAAGTTTAGGCTGGAAGCAAACACCCCAACGAGCTCAATCAACTCAGCTCTGGCAGCCCTGCCGAGTGGCATGGGAAAGCCCTACACACTCCTTCCCACTGTTCACACTGATAGTCTCGATCCAGGCCCGCTCATTGAGCCGGATACTACTGTTTGCAGACTTGTTTGCTAGGACATAATTCAATACCGAAGATGATGAACCAATGAACCATTTCCAATCCCCCCTGCTTTCAGGTTTTGTCGCTTCTTCCGACGCCATTGACAGCTTTGAGTGCAGGGTTCGGGCCCCGGAGCCCGTCAGTTAGACAATTCCGTGCGGACATCTGCTGCTCGAGATCATACAGCAGCTTAGGATTGCATCAGAGTTTAACAGACTTGCGAACAAGCCCCTCAGCCAAGATATGCCCAGCCTGTGCCTTCAAATCTTCTGAGCTCTCCCTGTACCTGGGCAGAGAGAAGAGCAGACGAGACACAGCTGTCCTGTCGCGGGCAAGAAGGCGATTCCTAGCGGTTTGGGAGGGTCTCCTAACATTTGTAGGCAGGTTGCATCGAAGGTTTTTGCTGCAGCGTTTGCTCTCTCGTTTCTGCTTGGCTGATTCCCAGAAAATGTTTGGTCTGGTCCACTCACGAGCTCAGCATCCAAGTCTCTCTGGAAAAGTCTTCTGTCCTTTGCTGCCCGCAGCTCTCAGGCCGCTTCCTTGGTCGGGCTCTAAGCTAGCAGCTGCACGGATTGTGTGCGGAGGGCCCGATCTAAGTGCGGTCTCGGCACGGAGCTGCAGCCAAGTTCTGCAGTTATGGCAATGGGGACATGACAGCAACATATGATAGTGCCAAAACAGCAGCCATCGAGCTTGACATCGTAGTAGTAGTCGTAGTAGTAGTAGTAGTAGTAGTAGTAGTAATAGGCGTCGTACTAGCAGTAGCAGCAGCAGTAGCAGTAGCAGTGGCAGTAGCAGTAGCAGTAGCATTAGCATTAGCATTAGCATTAGCATGAGCA